TGCTGTGGGTTATATTTAAAAAGGGCGGAAAAATTGGGTCTCCAAGGCGAAAGCGCGCTAGCCGCATAGGGCCCCTAGGCGCTCCTAGGCGTGCCTAGGCGCGCTTTAAGCGGTCAACGAGCGGTCAACATTGCCGTTGACCGCTTAATTACCACTTAGCCTCCAAGCGAGGCGTTTTCATCAAGCTTCGAGCTTAGGCGTCGCCTAGGCGCCGCCTAGGTGAGCTTTTTAGAACAGAGTTTGGGGTATTAGAACTGTCCCAAACCAAGAAATGTACGTCCGGAAGATGTTGCTAGGAACATTGAGCTGGCTTTAGGAGCTCATCCGGCAATTAATGGACCGGTTAAAAGGTTATCAGCATATGGAGATTTTAGCTCTTCTCCGATGCGACTAACAGAGGCCTATCACAGGACAGGTGTGAATCTTGTACACGTTCCGAATGGGAGGAAGGATGCTATCGACAAGGCGATTTTGGTTGACATGTTTTTATTTGCACTGGATCATCGCAGGCCTGCAACAATTTTACTTATCTCAAGAGACATTGATTTTGCGCCTGCTCTTCATACTTTACGTCATCAGGGATACACAATGATTGTTGTCAGTCCGTCTTGGGTGAAAGTCTCATCCACCATGAGGAACGCAGGCAACTACCTATGGAATTGGTCTAGTGTATGGGGAAAGGATTGTGCTCCAGGGCAAAACAGCAATACCTCATCGAATTGAAGAAAAGGCAACGTGTACAGTGGCTGAAAGAGAGCAGAATGACTTGAACCCGAATGTGCCCTCGTCAGATCTAAATCATTTGAAGGGACAGGTCGTGAGGTTACTAGAATTGTCGAGAGGAAGTTTATCTCTAGCCAAACTTCCTCAAGCATACAAGAAATTGTTTGGGAGGTCTGTGTGTGTCTGACTATGGGGTATCAAAGATCTCGAGACTTCTAAGAAGGATGGACGATTTGGTGACGGTTGAGGGAGAAGGCACACATAGATTTTTCTGTCTCTCTAAGTCAAGATCCAGAGCATGTGTCAAGGATATGCTGAAAAATGTCCAAGATAGACTAATAGTCGACGACAAGGTTCAGAAGAATCAGCATT